TACCCTGCCAAAGACCTGTATAACTAATAATGTAATCTTCAACATGGCTAGATCGGGACTCGAACCCTGAATCTCTGATTGTTAAGTTATCTCATAGGTATCTTATACATGTTGGTAAGACATCAATGGAAAGTCTGTGACTTGTAATGATGTTATTTATCTGCATTTCATTAATTGATTATTGGTGGAGTGCGCGAAGAATGATATATTACATTAAATTATATCAGGACGTCTCGACTAGTGAAGTCTAACTCTCTCTATCCGTGTGTTACTAATGTTATACCCAAACGGAAGTTAAAAGGGCGATAACTGTCGAAGGTTAAAACCAGTCTAGTGGGAATCAGCAACGAAATTTCAATTATATAAGATATCTTATATAGCTATATGAGATATCTTATTTTTTATATGAGATATCTTATATAGAAAATTAAATGAGATATCTCATATGCGATATAAGATATCTCATTTAATTTTCTATATAAGATATCTCATTTAATTTTCTATATAAGATATCTCATATAATATATAAGATATCTCATATAGCTATATAAGATATCNATAATTGAAATCTCGTTGCTATATAAGATATCTGATATAGAATGAGATTTCGTGGCATTAAAAACCAGAAACTAATTTCTCCCTCGAGAATCATTCGGAGCACATTCAGGATTGCATTGGGCGCAATGGCGGAGAGGGATGGTACGGATGCTGTATTTTTCCTAGGCCTAGCTCGCCTTGTCTCTCTTATAGCGGCCAAAGCAGAGGCTGCCATTTCCCGCACTCTTGAAGTGGACTCAGACATAATGGCGGCTACAGGAACACGTGTTGTTACAACATGCCTACTGTCCCTACGTAGATCCTCGAGATATTCCGGACGGGGAGATTTCATTTTCGACATTTTGTTAAAATCTCTTTCCTATATAAGATATCTTATTTAGTAACGAGACTTTAATTATATAAGATATCTTATATAGCTATATGAGATATCTTATATATTACATAAGATATCTTATATAGAAAATTAAATGAGATATCTTATATATCATATAAGATATCTTATATAGCATCTCGTTTAATTTCTATATAAGATATCTCATATATTATATAAGATATCTCATATACTATATAAGATATCTCATATACTATATGAGATATCTCATATACTATATGAGATATCTTATATACGATATAAGATATCTTTTATAGATATCTGATATGCTATATAAGATATCTTATATTTATTTTTTTGAAATACAGGATCGACATTGCTCCTTGAATAAATGTTAAGTTGGCTTGCCATAGACCGTTACTCCACGGAGAATGAAATATTACCGAAGCTATCAGGCTGATGTCAGATAGACTCCTATGTTGTATATTAACTAACCATTGTAACGAATGCTTTGTTGGTTTACTAAACAAGTGCTTTATTCAATGTAAGATTAGCTATCATTGTTGTATAAATCTCTCAATAATTAATTGATACTTTTTTTCTAAACTGAAACTAGATTTTTAAACTGGAAATTGTTTCCCGGTTTTATTTTCAAAGTACGTCAACGAATACAAAAATTTCGTATGCATAAGGAAACTGATACCGTAACTTAAATCTTGAATTTCCTTCTTCCCTGATCAGTAAGATTTAGAATATTACCCTCACAAGCATGGACTCTATTCTGGCACGGTTGAAAGGAACTTCTTGTTTACAGGAAATTATGTTTCATTCAAAAATGAAAATAGATACGTTTTAATATATTTTAAAGACTCCCTGACCAAGCGCTGTATTTCGACACTCTTTGTTATATTTTAGATAAGGGAATATCCTAGTTTACCTAGCCTTTAGTACGACTGGGAATCCTTATTTTGATATGATGACCATATCGTGCTTCACAACTTTATTTCCTTTGGCTTTCTGCTTTAACGTTAGACTGGTTATAAATAGGAGCTCCCTTCTTGATAGATCTAGTGATTATATCGACTGTTTGTCGTCTTTAAAGACGACTTGTATTGTCCACGTCGATAATGTATACCATCCTCACTGAGACTGTGGGATCGTGCTACAAGGATTGCTTACTTCCAACTTTACCGACAGAAATGGCTGACTGTTAGGGTGTATGTTAGGCGTGACAATTTCAATTTTCCGATCGTGGATTGTAATAATTTCTTTTCTAAAACCTAAGGACATGCAATTGGTTCGGTATACACGGGCTTGCTCCGAATAAAAATAATATGTGATATATGTCGAATGCAGACAGCTTGTTGAGATGTGTAAGTAGATTTAGAACAAAGACAAGTTTTATTCCTTTTGCAGTCCTCGCTTCAATGACACTTTGTTTTACATGGCGGGTGTAGCAGTAATTGGTATTCCATCGCCGTTTTCTTTGTCATTCATATACGTCAACCATAAAACATTGTTACAAAAAGAAAACACCGAAGAAAACAAAAACAAAACAAAAAGGCATATGCGAAATAATAAAAACCAATGATGAACTACAACGATTGTTACATGTACACGAAAACAGGACCATTTCTAATTTGGAAAAAAATATACAATTAAGGACAGTCATTGTTTGGAACTACAACTAAATACTCATTACTTTGAGATGGACAAATAATAAAAATGATTATAAATTTTATATTCACATTGGTGCAAATGTTGATCTGATGATACATTTGCATATCTTGTTCTAGAAAATGCATCTTTAGGAACTTAGATAGAGAACATGATTGACATGGAATCCCCGATATTGGTACAAATAGGTTTGTACATGCCGACCAACTTTGAAATCCAAGATGACTACTATATGTCAGCATTAGGTGGCTCCGATCAAAAACTTCAAACAGGTGGTAAATCTCATCTGTGTTGGCCTGGAATGTCAACATATTCCCTAAATCTGGCATGAAGCTACCTGGCTTTCGGCAAATTTTTATTTAAAATCTTCATAATAAGTCCTTAAAAAGAGGTAGCTCTGTGAATTGCTTTACCGTTTTGTTTCAACGCATTAATGTGTAGTCATCGGTGACTTATTCTGAAACATTATTAGGTTGAATTTCTTTCCTTTATTTTATAATATTGCTTGTATGTTAATTTCTTTTTGCATTTTGAATATGACGCGGTGTACTTAATGCTTCCTTGAAGTGCGAGAAAAATGACAGAGAGGTCAGTATACACACATTAATGTTATACGATCTGCCTTTTACCTGAGAATACAATAACAAATAATTACGAATTTTAAGAAAGTTTGTTTAACGTTTTGAAATTTAAAACCTAATGAGAAATGTATAATGCTGACGGAAGTTTGCATACTAAAATATGCGATACTTTAAATGATAGGGAAGTATTATTCGGATATAAATATCAGGTTCCGTGTTGACTTATAAACTTAAGACAAATATTACATCCTTTTCTGTTTTTAATTACTTGGATGTGCCTTTTAAAACCCGTATGTTTGCCTCCGATGACTATAAGTATATACAGATGTATTCAGATGTAGAGGAACTTTGATGTACGCAGGTAAGTGTATTATATCTATCATAAAATCAGAACTGTAGGTGAACATAAGGAATCAAATACGTATTACAGTACAGAATATACTGCCAGGATGCTATCGCAATACACACACCTGTGTTACATCACTATGCTAATCATGCATTGCAGTCATTTTCATTAATTGCAATTGGTGAAATGAGATCTAATGTCAAGGCACTGGTTGATCCCTATTGCAGTATTGAAGACAAAGGACTTTATTTCGTGGTGTTACGTGAATGTAAAGATTGTAAGCAGAGATCCTCAATCACCAGCCCAGTGTTCACTATGCTGGTCGATTTAATCAATATTCATATTTTAATATCTTGTACGATTTTATCTAAATAAAAAATATATTAATATAGATCAATTGTCAAAACGTTTATGGTGCCACCTACATGTAACTGGTCCGGCGTACGGTCAGACCATTGGTAGATTACTTCACTGCATAACCAGTCTCACGATTTACAATTTATTTTATATTTATTGGTGACTCATACCATTTTATACTCAGTTGTAGGTTGAGAATTATAGTAGAGCATTTTTATTTTAAACTCATAATAAATATTCATTACACTGTGTATCCAGTCAAGCCCTAGGGCTCATCAACAGTTTTATATTCAAATATCTTGGTCATTGTTACTTCTTCCTATTTTCCGTTTATCGCAATGACAAAGCGAACAAGCGATGATTTATATCCAATAATGGCGATTTATCTCGTCGAAAAAAACTAAAAGGCGCCGTTCTACAGTATTTAAGCCGATTTGCTATGGCAAAAAGCTCAAGGTATCGTTTTTTAATTTGGAATTTTGAGGTAAATACGGCGCTGTTTCTTGGCAAAAATGCAAAAATGTCCATGATGAGCCTCCATATTTAAATGTTTTTGGCTTAATTAACAGTATGACACTAATGTAATGTTCATCATATTTATATATAAGGGAACTAAGTCACTAAGTAAATGGTTCACGAAAGGGTCGGTGACATCTGCACTGTGTTTTTTTTTGTATACACCGTAACCTCCCTTTAATTTCCCTTTTTTATATAGCTGTAGCACAATTGGGCCAGTACACCTCCTATGACCAGGTAGTTATCTTAGTTAGGGCAACTGTATAACAATCTGAAGTCCAGGGTTCGAATCCCAGTCTAGCCCTGTTAGTTTTTGAACAATCAGAACACTGCTGCTGACTATATATATTGTTTATTTCATCTCTATTGTTTTTCATAAAAAGGCCGCAAGGTGTTGGGTTCATTTCTGAAATAATTTATCAAAGCTATAATCATTTCGTAAAAGCAATTTTCATGGGTATTTTTAGCTTTGACCTGGGATCCTTGAAAACAAATACTGTCTTGGAATTTTCACGGAAATCAAAAGTAAAAAAAATAAATAAAAAAAGAGTTATATGGTAATGGTGATGTGCTTCTTGACCCCTTGAACACTTGTGACAAGTGCATTAACGAGAAGCAGGACATATTTTGTGTTAAGGACATATTAACAGTTTCCCTGATAACTACTGAATGTGAATAACTAGGTCGGATTAATCTTCACGAATATAGGATTAGAAAAATACTATAAGCATTTTGCCTCTAAGTAATTATTGAAACGGTTTAATTATTACTTTACACATCAAACTGAACTACATTTCCACTGGTCCAGATTGTCTTCTTCTCGGCAATTAAGAGACAAAAAAGTTAAATCTGTCTGATGTTTTGGCAGAGATAGATAAGACAAATGTTAATGTCTACTTTTGTACAGTATAACAGATTCTTACATTGGTGACAATATGACGACACGTGGTAATGTATAAGATTAACATAAACGTGTCTTTTCATTTCAAAATATATGAGACATTATTAAGAGAAGATTTTTTCCCATCATGCCAACAGCCTGTCAAGGAAAATAGAGATTCTAGGAGACATTGGTATTGCCTTAGGGTTTACAACCTGCATTCTACGTCCACGGTGTCTGTATAGCAGTTTTATCAGTTGAAATGTAGCACACATTAATGTTATACGATCTGCCTTTTACCTGAGAATAAAAATAACATATAATAACGAATTTTAAGAATGTTTGTTTAAAGTTTTGAAATTTAAAACCTTATGAGAAATTTATAATGCCGACGGAAGTTTGCATACTAATATATGCGATACTTACTTAAATTGATAGGGAATTATTATTCGGATATAAATATCACGTTGCGTGATGAAATTTGAGAGGAATATTACATCCTTTTCTGTTTTTAATTACTTGGATGTGCCTTTTAAAGCCCGTGTGTATGCCTCCGATGACTATAAATATGAACAGATGTATTCAGATGTAGGGAAACTTTTTTACATATATCATAACATGTAGGTGAAAATAATGAATCGAATACGTATAAAGTACTTTATTTCGTGGTGTTACGTGAGTGTAAAGATTGTAAGCAGAGATCCTCAATCACCAGTCCAGTGTTCACTATAATGCTGGTCGATTTAATCAATATTCATATTTTAATATATCGTACGATTGTTCTAAATAAAAAAATATTAATATAGATCAATTGTCAAAACTTTTATGGCGCCACCTACATGTATCTGGTCCGGCGTACGGTCAGACCATTGGTAGATTACTTCATTGCATAACTAACAGTATTTAAGCCAATTTGCAATGGCAAAAAGCTTAAGGCATCGTTTTATTTTCTTGTTGTCCCACGTTACCCGACCGTTTAAAAGTCAGAAAGTCGATAAAGCGGAAAAAACGTCGTTCTTGACGCTATTTTACAAGTTTCTTAATTTGGAATTTCGAGGTAAATACGGCGCTGTTTCTTGGCAAAAATGCAAAAATGGCCGTGATGAGCCTCCATATTTAAATGTTTTTGGCTAAATTAACAGTATGACACTAATGTAATGTTCATCATATTTATATATTAGGGAACTAAGTCTACAAAGTAAATGGTACACGAAAGAGTCGCTAACATCTGCACCGTGGATTTTCGTACACATCGTAACCTTCCTTTAATTTCTTTTGTTATATAGCTGTAGCACAATTGGGCCAGTACACCTGCATTGACCAGGTAGTTATCTTAGTTAGGGCAACTGTATAACAATCTGAAGTCCAGAGTTCGAATCCCAGTCTAGCCCTGTTAGTTTTTGAACAATCAGAACACTGCTGCTGACTATATATATTGTTTATTTCATCTCTATTGTTTTTCATAAAAGGCCCCAAGGTGTTGGGTTCATTTCTGAAATAATTTATCAAAGCTATAATCATTTCGTAAAAGCAATTTTCATGGGTATTTTTTTAGCTTTGACCTGGGATCCTTGAATACAAATACTGTCTTGGAATTTTCACGGAAATCAAAAGTAAATAAATAAATAAATAAATTAATGTTATATGGTAATGGTGATGTGCTTCTTGACCCCTTGAACTCTTGTGACAAGTGCATTAACGAGAAGCAGGAAATATTTTGTGTTAAGGACATATTAACAGTTTCCCTGATAACTACTGAATGTGAATAACTAGGTCGGATTAATCTTCACGAATATAGGATAAGAAAAATACTATAAGCATTTTGCCTCTAAGTAATTTTTGAAACGGTTTAATTATTACTTTACACATCAAACTGTACTACATTTCACCTGGTCCAGATTTGGTTCTTCTCGGCAATTATGAGACAGAAAAGTTGAACTGTCTGATGTTCTGGTAGAGATAGATAATGTTAATGTCTACTTTTGTACAGTATAACAGATTCTTACATTGGTAACAACATGACGACACGTGGTAATGTATAAGATTAACCTAACCGTGTTTTTTCATTTCAAGATATATGAGACATTATGAAGAGAAGATTTTTTTTCCATCATGCCAACAGTCTGTCAAGGAAAATAGAGATTCTAGGAGACATTGGTATTGCCTTAGGGTTTAGAACCTGCATTCTGCGTCCACGGTGTCTGTATAGTAGTTTTATCAGTTGAAATGTAGCAAGTAGTGCACATGATATGTATCACTGTCTAGGCTTAAAATGAGTGTTCTATATATTTCGATGCAATTGTTGACTCTTCCTATGAGATTTACCATTGGTTTCATAGTGGTTAAATATTGAGGTGTGCCCATTTTGTTTTTATCATTTTCACTTTGACAATATAGCCTGGTTTCGTCCCAGACCAGACAGTTGCAAAATGTTTAACATATTTACATCATCAGGGAATACAAACTTATATTGATTGTACCTGAAATGAACTCATCATGTGGTACATTTATAGAAATATCAACAAAATTAGAATTTCTAAAAAATTAGAAATGCAAAAATTGCATATACAACACTACTCAAATGAATTACTTAAGGAATGATTTTTATTTTTTCAACATTTATGAGGTCATAACAACAATGGGTTTATGGACATATTGAATGAATCGCGTTAGCGATTCATGTAAAATATGTCCAAAAACCCATTGTTGTTATGCCCTCATAAATGTTGAAAAAATAAATATCATTCCTTATAATTACATTGACGAATCCTTTCAGTGGATCGATATAACAACGAATTAAACAAATAAACAGGGTTTGTTCCTGCTTATACACGGGTGCAACGCAGTGGCGAGAACAGGGTTTTTTCGCGGGGAAATGTGACACTATCGTGAGAGATCTTAGCAACCGTCAACAACAATAACACAACAAAATGTAGTTCCATATTCAATGTTTATTTGTAGCACAGGACACGTAAATACGTGGATATTTCACAAAGCACAGTTCAATAATATTTTAAGATGTAAGAATTAAGCATCTAGGCCGGTCGTTCCGAGTGAGTAGTTTTTGTAGTGTATTACTACGCAGTGTGATCAGGTTACTATCAGTTTCCACGTGCTGAGATTCTATGAACACATGTGTTATGCATTTATGAATGTAATTTTTGTCAATGGGTCTAAGCATACAGAATGTAAATATAAAGCAATGTTTACAATTGTTCGTTTGTGTTTGGACGGTAATTATTTGTTTTCTTTATTTTTCCTT